GGGGGGGGGGGGGGGGACAGCACAACATTTTACGATGGCCGGAAGTGCTTTACAAGGTCTTGTAACTTCAAACCACTGTTAAATGAATGGTAGTTAAGTGAGGACTACCTGTAGCTTCAAGGCTAGTATTTATTAATCTATTATTTAAATTATTTTAAAGTACTATAATCTGGTAGAATTGTACCCAGGTACTGAAAAGACCATTACTGTGTAGGTAATGAAGGGAGACACACTGAATCACAAGTCAAAAAGTACCTCACCATCAGTTGATTCCAACTTGGCCGGATTTGCGTAGGATTTCATACGGAAATCCTGGATCCAACGCATGTTTGCTTCATTAACTCCAACAAAATCAATTGGCTTTCCCTAGAAGAGCAAAGCCCAATTAATGCATCTACGTATAATAAGCCTTTGGGGTAAACATTTAGTGAAACAAAAATATTTGAAAAAAATAATAATAGCCTGTCTCCATGATTACAAACCATGTTATTGGTACTGAATGAAGACGTCATTTTTTCATATGATCCAAAATGGAAATGCTGACCATACACACAAACACACACCAAGGAAAATATAGCATATTCACAGCATAAGTGCACTCCTTCCAAAGAGCACAGCTAGAATTAGTTGCTTTCTACTAAAACAATGTATTTACCTGTTCCTGCATTCTGAGAACCCACTAGGAAATTGCAGATGGAAAGAGAAGAGGGCTCTATAGAAAAATAAATCTACAAAAGGAATGGTGGATAAAAATTATTTTCCACTACCTCGCTGAAATCAAGTCAATGTTACCTGTGGCTGCCTAGTTTGGATCACTGCAGCCTCTGACCACATTCCATTCTAAGATCATGACTGAAGGCCAATTCCTCACAACAGCCACTTTTCTTCTTTTTAGTCATCTTGCCTGAGGAAGAATCTATTTCATCATCTACTTAATAAAACCAATGCAGAACACTTACATCTACTTACCCCTGGGGTAGCAACTTGGAGATTAAAAGCAGAGCTTGCCAATGTAAAAGAGTGGAAGAAGGAGTCAGCTGATACACCTGATGGACAGATATAAGTACATTATATGTAGTGGGTGCTTCTTAATGGGGAAAAAAATATTGGTCTGGCTGCCATACCTGGGGGAATAAAACCTGGATGTCACCTAAATAGTAGTTGAGACATACTGGAAAAGTAGCTGCCACCTGGCTCTTTTTGTAGCCCAAATATGGGAGCCCTAGCATTCACTGATTACCAATAGAAGAGAATACATGTAGCTCAGGGTTGCACTGTGGAGTCCACATTCACTGATCATTCCTACTATACATGCATACTTGGCAGCCGTCACATTCCTCAAAATAAAAAAGCAAAAGACTTAATAATGTTCATGTCTGTCTTGAACATACAAAAACAGGACAGGCAAAACTTGCTACAGCTAACCGACTTCAGTGAGCGACCCCAAATTCATAATTCTGTAAGAGGAGAATCATCAAAAACTTATTTTAAAAGGTTTTGTAACAAAAGAGGGGAGGAATATATATAAAAAGAGACAGCACATGATGTGTTTAAAGGCAATGCAGGGAAGAGGTGAAGCTGTTGGAGCACCATGGGGAGGCCTCAGTTGAAGTCCCCCTTTATCCTTGAAAGCTGCTAGGTGATTTTGAACCAGTCACTCTCTCAGGCCAACCTACCTCACAGGGTTGTTGTGGAAGAGGGAGCCCCTGAAGGGAAGGGGAGGTGTATATCCAACAAACAATGCAAATACTTTACATAAATGAAGTAAAATAGAAGATTCAATCAAGAGCACTAATAAACCTCAATGAACAGCATATTAGCTATAGTTTCCATGTTCTTGCAGGCAGAAAGCAGCCCTAGCAAGGACTTATGGGAGGTGAATCCCAACACCTTTATAAGAGACTATAAAAACATGTTAATACTATGTAGAAATTATAGTATGGCATATACTATAATATGCAGATTATGTACATATAAAATGCAGTAGACACCTAATTAGATGCAGCCCTAGTTGATCTTGGGTGATTAAAAAAGAAAAAATTTGGACCAGGTTGGTACTTGGATGGGAGACCACCAAGAAATCTCAGGGCTGCAGACTACATTGGGAAAGTCATCCTGCCCAGGAAAAAGCAACGGCAAACCACTTCCATTCTGCTGCCAGGACAATTATACGGACCTGTCCATGTAAACAGAGAAGCTGAACTCCACTTGAAGTAGAGCTCATCTTCTGCCGTAAAGACCCATCACCCCGACGCAGCCAGATAGGCTTCCCCTGCAGTTATCGATCATCCTCCCCAGGAAGAGCGTTCTCCAATCTCCTGCGTCCAGCTCTGCAGGACTCTTAGCCAGCCATGCGCATCGCGGAGTATCAAAGGTTGGCAAAGCCACCCACTACCCGGAAAGCTGATACACAGAGCGGCCGCTGCCCCTGACAATACCCGCCTTTCCCAGGTAATCCTCTCAACGCCCCGCCTCGCCTTCCCTCCCAGCGCTCAGGTCCGCCGCCCCCGCCAGGAAGAGCCAAGAAGGAAGGCGGGGAGGGCCAGAGCCGCCGGCCTCACCTGCAACAGCGGCGCTGGCCACAATCAGGCACGTCGGCTTGCTGAGCCTCTCC